GGTGTCTGTTTCGGTGTGATTTACGCTTTGTGCTGAGCTGCTGCTAAAACCACTGCCGAGGGAATGCCTAATGCTGCTGGAAATATGGTTTTGTTGGGAGGGGATAAAGAGCATCTGATTATTGCGTTTGTGTGTGTGAAGCATCGGTGCTAACCTTGCAAATGTGCATGGTTGTCCTGGGGATGGGATCCCATAACTTGTTACTCGATTTCCCCCTTATCTAGCATATGGAAAAAAACTTATTTTGTGTACCATGTAAGGTTTAAGTGTCTGCTTCCAGTTGGTGTTTTGGAGAATATGAAGGAAGGACTTCAAAATGCTGAAGATTTTTTTTTTTTTCTGCTCCAATGTACTTGTTCTGATGCCTGCTTTTTTTTTTTTTTTTTCCCAAGAAGGATTTATGGTGTATGCTCAGATGGAACCGAAATACAGATCGTGTGTTCTAATGTACGCGTTATCCTGGTATGTTCATACTTTGAAGGAAACATAATGCCAACTTTTAATTAAAGATAATATATTGTTTTCTAACCTCAGTTAGTTTTTCTTTAAACTTCAAAAATGATCAGCATGAGGCGTCATTAGGAGGAGACACAAGGAGGAGATGCTGCTCCACTGTCTGCTCTGTTTTTTAAGCTGTGTAATTCTAGTCACTAACCAAAACTAGTGTTTTACTAACCAGTATAACCTTACTAAGAGAGTTGGAAACTGCTGTGTATTTGCACTGCATCAATCAAGATTTACCACGAGCAGTTCTGAGCTTGCCAGGTAAAATATTGTTTAATCAGAGGGAAGCAACAGGATGGAGGGTCCTGAAGGTGACCATCTGCTTGAGGTACCAGCAAAAAGTTAAGTCAGCTGGAGTTCCTGGAAAAGCTGTGGGATTTGTGCCGTTTTCCTTGTCCTTTAACCCATGTAGCTGTTTTTCTGACATCCTGTCACGATATCTGAATATTGCTGGATTGCCAAGCTTCTTCCCGAGGCTTAGGAAGTGATTGATCATTGTTCTTGTGTTGTTTTTCAGGATTGTTCTTTACATATACATTTCCATAATTTCCATTCTGAAATAGTGGTTGGCATTTTACAAGGGTGAAGTGAACACAGGGTCCAATCCTGCTGCTGTTTTACTGATTGGTGGCATTTCTGGTGACATTAGTGACAGTACACGGGGCCTGATGCTCCTGAGCACAGCGGCGGTTTCCAAAACCAACACAACTCTGCCTTCTTTAAGAGGGTCCAGAGGACCAGAAAAATCTGCACAAGCTTTATCCCTTTACTGTCTTAGCCCTGTAGCATAGCTGTTCTCCAGACCAAACCTGCTTATTGCCGCCCAGCAGCGAGAGCTGCGCTGCGTGTCCTGCAAGGTTGGGCTCTCGCGTGCGGCTGGTTTCTCGTCAAGTTTCCCACAACTTGGGTTATTGAGTTTACAATTTAGGAGAACAAACCCAAGCATCCCCCACTGCACTTTTCCCTCCTCCTTCTATAGCAAGTGTTCAAACAAGTGTGTTTCCTGGACCTGCTCGTGGAAATAAGAGGTTGGACTTTATTATTGGAATTTATTTTTACCTACGCTTGTTGCCTGCCATGAGAACTACCATCAAGAAATCATTGCTCTGGTCTCAAACAGGAGAAAATACTTTTAAAGAATACTAGAATACATCAGGCAATATTTTTAATTTTCAAAACTGCTTTGACTGTTATCTGTTGTTTGATAGAATTTTGATTAGTATTGCACAGTGGAAAAGTTGGGGGTTTTTTTGATTTCACTAATCCTGATTAAGGCTAGAAAAGACTCTTGATTACAGTAATTTTAATAATGTAAATTTGTTTGTGATATGTCTTTAGTCTTTAATCCCCTTTGGCATTCTGTTCAAAGGGAGATGAAAAATTTGGGGATTTATAACATTTAAATCAGTCATTCCCTGCATGCTGCTTAGGCAGTCGTTCTCCTACCTGAAACATGAAATACCTCGTGGGTATATAACAAAATATTTTGCTAGCAAATTAGAAACATGTTTGCATGGTTTCTATAGAAAAATAGCTTAATATTAA